TTAGGCTGAGACTAGACTCACGTAGAGTATCGGATTTGCTATTTTATATACTTGACGAGCTATTTAATTAGCCATGGAAATTGTACTTTCCTTTACTGATTTCTTCTGCGTTGTGCGTATTCGTCCGATAGTTTTTCTTGAATTTTAAAACTCACACGTATATTCATGAGTGGGTCAGTGACCCGTCAAATTTTCATATTCTATGGGATTGGGCTGTTCGCCTCGGCGGTATCATGTGACACACTCTTATGGGGACTGGGTCGTTTGCCTTCGTGGTATCATGTAACACACTCTTATGGGATCGGGTCGTTCACCTCAGCAGAGTAACATATTCTTGTGGGATCAGGTCGTTCGCCTCTGCAGGATTATGTATCACACTCTTATGGGATCAGGCCGTTCGACTCGGCAGTTCTATGAAACACTCTTATGGGATTGGGATGCTCATCTCGGCAGAAGCGTGCGAAATACTTGATAAGGAGTCTGCGTACTCATGAGTTTTCTGACATGATATGTGACTGCTGATTTGGTATTGACCGTTACGTATTCCATTTGATGAGGTATCTGATAATTGAGGACTTTGTGTTTACTGTTCAGTTGTAGACTGTATTATTTGACTATATCTGTTCTCATTATTTACTTACCATATTTCATACTTGTCTACCTTATTATATTTGATATATTAGACCATTTGTAAGTGTCAATGTCGATCACTCGTCACTACCACTTCGGGATAAGGCTAGATACTTATTATGTACGCGTTGATTTACGTACTCACGTTACACTTCTGCATTGAATGTGCAGGTACTAAGGCATGTGCATTATGTGGTCATCTTGGCGCAACTGCTGAGGGGACCTTATGGTGAGCTGCATTCTATGCTACGATTCGCACCACATGAAGTCTCCATCTTATTTAGTTATTATATCTTATCTATTTTATATTGCAGACACATGTTTTGGTAGTGTTGTATTGTTCTAGTAGATGTTGATGCTCTTGTGACACCGAATTTTGGGAGTTCCTAGTGGATGTTCATTATTTTATTTCACATTATTATTATCACTTCACTTTATAATTTATTTATATTCGAAAATTTGGTAAATAAATGTACAGGTTTCTATGATCATAGAAACCTGTGCATTTATTTACCAAATTTTCGGATCGTAGCAATAGATACGAACCGTAGCTAATTCGTCGGTAACTTACCAACGTATTCAATTTTTCCGCTACTAAGGGGTTAGCTACGAGCAAATTAGCGACGGACGCAAATTCGTCGCTATTCCGTTGCTAAACCTGTTTAGTGACATAAATATACTATTTAGCTACGGAATTTCATCCGTCGCTAAAGCCGATTTTTTTTTGTAGTGTGAGTGCTAGATTTTATTCTATTTATTTAATTAAAATCATGATTTTATAAATTTAAAATGGATATTTAATTGGAGGTTCCCGCGTTGGCTTGCCTAGCAGCATAGTTAGGCGCCATCACGACCAATTATGGGTTTTGGGTCGTGACAGCCTGGGTGGATGGATTAAATAAAAAAAATGTATAGATGTATACCTATACTTATTGTATATATCCATGTCATGTATTCACTTTATGATACAATATACAACGCTTTGTTTTTTTGTTATACGTCCGAAAAAATCTTCTAATTATGGCATGATAATGAGACGTGTTTGAATTGATTGGATTGAGATAGTTTAGGAGTGATACACGCTAATCGATTGCTCTGTCCGTTATTATATAGATGCACTCCTTACTTATTAGGTGAATTACATGATTGTATTTATGAATATAGAAGCGTGAATACATCAAATACAGCCGGGTAGCAATAAAATATTAGCTATAAAAAGTAAATACATATATTGTAATTATAGAAAGTTAATAGCCACTTAACTATAGTAATTTCTGAAAATTCCTAACTTTTAATTCTGAATTCGCTGCCTATATCAACTTTTATCAACTTGCGTAGTTCGTGATTTTATCTCTAGAAAGTAGCATAGCAAGTACTTGACTTAATTATTCGCCCTTTATCGATTCATCTTTTTCTTTTGGGTCGAAGAGACATGGTTTGGGTTTTCCCTTTATCCCATTTTCACGGCCACTAAACGAGAACTTTTGGAACTCTAACACATCCTTCAAACCAGCTGCTAAGTGCTATGGACAAAACCAAACACATTTGTCTGTTGACTCTATTTTGTATCCTGCTACCGTATGGTCGTCAATGTAATACCCGGATTCAACAACTTAAAAATGAATCAAATAGACATGCGTCGAGAGAACAATCCATTTTAATATCTGTAATTATGGCCAATATTTTGGCTAATGGAGTCCATCTCACATAAGCATAAACATCTTTGCAAAGTGTAGATTTTGTTGACAATATTCTTTGGAACACAAAAATATTGCATTGTGTGGTGGACATCATTTGCATAAGTTGTATCTCTTCTTTTACACCTAAGAGGCCAAGATTTTTTTGCCTATAAAAGGGAAGGCCATTAGTTCATTTTAGACGCACCAATAAGACTTGAGTCTTCATTTCTTGTTTCTTCCTTTCTTCCTTTACTAAGAGTATTTTGTATGAGAGTTGAGTGTTAGGAAGCACTTGTGTGAACCCTTTCTTTGGAGTGACCTTGTAAGGTTATTACCTTGGGATATTTGGGATTAATTAGAGCATTTACTCTAATTTTGTACTCTCTTTTGTACTCTTGTTGGTATAGTAAAATTGCTCCTCTCCGTTTGTGGACGTAGGTCACTTTGACCGAACCACGTTAAATTTGTGTATTCTTTATATGTTTTAAATATTGTTGTTGTCAACTTCCATTATCTTTGTTATTGTCATTATACCATTGTTTGGCTAAATTTCGCACTACCCAGGTTTCCAATCCTAACAAATTGGTTTCAGAGCTGGATCTAACCGAGTTTATTTCAGTAGCCAATATGACTTTAACAAAGACTTATGTTGAGAAATTTGATCGAAGTGCAAACTTCGGAATATGGCAATTAAAGATGGAGGCTATCCTAATTCAGGATGGCTTAGATTTGGCATTGCAAGGAAAGGAGAAGAAGCCGGATAAAATGACGGATGAGGAGTTTGCCGTCATAGACAAAAAGACAAAAGCAGGTTTCATTTTAAATCTCTCAAATGAGGTTTTACGTGAAGTTTCTGTAGAAACCACAGCCAAAGGTATGTGAAAAAAATTTATAACCTTATATATGAAGAGGACGGTGGAAAATAGACTTTACCTGAAGCAGAAGCTTTATACAATTCATATGGGTGAAGGTACTTCTATTCTCTCTCATCTTGACACCTTTGATTCCATTCTTATGGATTTGAGTAATATAGATGCTGAAATTAAAGATGAGGATCAAGCCATGTTACTGTTTTGTTCTCTACCCCTATCTTTTAAGCATATAAGAGATACTTGCTTTATGCAAAGGATAATATCTCTTATAAGTATATTAAATCTATCTTAAAATCAAAGAAACAGATAGATAGTAATATTACTGGGGAAGCTAGTGGAACTCAAGCAAAAGTTGGCTTGTTGTTAGGGGCAAATCTGACTCCATATCCAGATACAATAATTTAGAGCGTCGCTATTGTCATAAGAAAGGTCACATTATCTCTGAATGTTATACGCTGAACAATAAAGAAAAGCATAAGGAAAAGAAAAATGAGCACAAAACTACTCACACAAGTGTAGCTGCTGATGAGACTGGGGGAACTATTTTTTTAGCAACTAATAATAGTTTCAAATCTAACAATGAGTGAATTTAAGATTCGGGTTGTTCTTATCATATGTGTCCCAATCGGGATTTATTTATCACATATGAATCTATTGGAGGTGGAGTTGTCTTGATGGGCAACAATGCTGCCTGCAAAGTTTTTGGAAAAGATATAGTTCGAATCAAAATGCACGATGATGTGGTGAGAATTCTTACCGATGTTAGACATGTTCCTGACTTGAAGAAAAATCTTATCTCTTTGGGCACTTTAGAATCTCTTGGGTGCAAGTACGCATGTGAAGGTGGAGTTCTGAAAGTTTCTCATGGTGCTCTTGTGATCATGAAAGCACATAGATCTGGTTCGTTGTATACTTTATTGGGATCCACTATTATAGGCCCTACTACAGTTTCGGTATCAGATAACTTGTCTGATTTTGATGGCATTAAATTTTGACATATGCCCATTGGGGCTTTTGCGGAGAGGGTGGAGCAAATTTACTATATCAGCCAAAATTAGGCCAAGGTAGAGATTTGTAATTATGGCCAATATTTTGGCTAATGAAGTCTATCTCACATAAGCATAAGCATCTTTGCAAAGTGTAGACTTTGTTGGCAATATTCTTTGGGACCCAAAAATATTGCATTGTGTGGTGGACATCATTTGCACAAGTTGTATCTCTTCTTTTACAACTAAGAGGCAAAGACTTTTTTGCCTATAAAAGAGAAGGCCATTAGTTCATTTTAGACACACCAACAAGACTTGAGTCTTCATTTCTTGTTTCTTCCTTTCTTCCTTTGCTAAGAGTGTTTTGTATGAGAGTTGAATGTTAGGAAGCACTTGTGTGAACCCTTTCTTTGGAGTGATCTTGTGAGGTTATTTCCTTAGGATATTTGAGATTAATTAGAGTATTTACTCTAATTTTGTACTCTCTTTTGTACTCTTGTTGGTATAGTGAAATTGCTCCTCTTCGTTTGTGGACGTAGGTCACTTTGACTGAACCACGCTAAATTTGTATATTCTTTATATGTTTTAATTGGCGTTGTTATCAACTTCCATTATCTTTGTTATCGTCATTATACCATTATTTGGCTAAATTCCGCACTACCCGGATTTTCGATCCTAACAATATCAATACTGATCCTCACGACCATGTGATATAAATAATTCATTTATCTCAAGAAAATTTAAGAGGTTATGGAACTAGTTGAACATTTCGACAAGATTTGATGCAGATTTACAAAATGAAAAAGCACTTCTCGTCCATCAAATGGACCGATTGCACCTTCTACATTAAAAATTATAAAACACAAAGTGTTAATATGATACAAAAGGATTTTGGGATCAAACTCAACATCTAAACGTTGAGATAAAAAATCATCTAGGCAACGGGGCTAGCGTTCTAGCTATGGGTTGGCAAAACCCAATAATTTTGGCCGAGATCCTATATTTATGTTAAGAAATCCATCAGTATACATATATAATTTACACAGAACCCTCAGAAACCGTAAATTCAAGATTCTTAATCCGCCTGTGAGACAAGGAAATGTTCAGACATGATTATCGTTCTCTTTGACGGCCGTCATTAAAGGATAGTCGAAAAACCCACTTGGAGAATGACTTCTTCTTTGAACTCAAACTTGACTGGTGGTGATTTTGGATGTTGTTATTGGTAGAATCAACAAAAGCCTTCAAACGTTGTATGGCGAGGTTTAGCGTATCCTCGGACATGTTAGCGAAACATGCACGAAACCACCCCGGTTCTGTACAATGACACGAGGATCCAGGGGAAATATTTAGTCCAACGTCGTACACTATTTTCTTCCATAATTCAATTTCTTCATCAAAAGTATTTGATCTTAAGAGATGTCTCATGTCAACCCAACAAAACAAGCCAGCATTGCTATCAAGGCAACTAATTCCAGCATTTTGAAGACCTTGAACTAGCATTTCATGTCTTTTCTTGAGCCTCTTTTGATTTTCGGAGATATACATTTTTGTGAATTTTTTGTCAGAGAGCATGGCCGAGAGAAGGTACTGAGTTTGGGATGAAATTAATCCGAAACTGGACATTTTTGTGGCTGCAGCGACAACTAATTCGTCGTTGGAATAAATGGCACCAATTCGAAACCCTGGGAGACCTAAATCTTTTGAAAGGCTATAGACAATGTGAACTCGATCCCATACTTCGGAGTTCATGTAGTTGTTTTCTATTAGTATTTCCATGACACTAACGAAGCTAGGCGAGTTAAAAACAGCACCAGAATAGATTTCATCGCTAATGAGATGGATGTTTTTTGTAGAAATGAAGGTTAAAAGGAGTTGAATTTCTTGATTGCTTAATGTTGTGCCCAATGGGTTTGAAGGGTTTGTCACAAGAACTCCTTTAACTCTAAGGTTTCGTCTTTTGGCTTCTTGGTAAGCTTCTTCAAGAGCGGATTCTGTTATTCTAAAGCCATTAGAACTCGTGCATTCTATTGGCACAATCTCAGCCCCCGTTCTCCATTTTAGATCTCTGTCAAATCTGCATTACACAATACAATAATACCATAATTAGTAAAGAACATACTTTTCGTTTTAGAAAAAATGTGAATATATACATTAGTTAGTAGTATAGTAAAATCTACGTTAGGAGCAAAGGATTATTAACGTACCCAGGGTAGTATGGAGTAGGAAGGAGAAAAGCATCGCCATGGTCGGCGAGACAAAACATGAGTGTCTCATTTGCAGAAGTAGCGCCGGCTGTTAGTACAAGCTTGTTTGAATCAAAGCTCACTTTGTTCCCTCTTATTTCTGCCATGAATTGAGCCAATGCCTGCATATGGTAAACATAATAATGTGAGACTATTTTTTAAAAGATACATGCACACATAATAATGGCTACACTTAATTAATGTAGTATTTAAATTAATTAGTGGAGTTGAGACGTACGTTTTTGAAAGCTGGAAGGCCGTGATAATCTTGAAATAGGGCAAGCTCTCTAAATATTGACTCTCCGTTTCTCTTAAATCCAGCTGCATCTGGGTTTTGAGCAAGCCATGACTCTAGTAAATCGAAAGAGAGCTGCACATGAAAACGTTCACGTAAATTCCAAGTCAAAACAAAAAGTAAATGCATAAACCCGATAATCAGCAATAGGGAGAGGTGCAGTGCATATATAATGGACAAATTAATGTGTTAATTACTGTTATCTAACCTGATTCTCTGCAAGACCCATCTGGATTATTCCTTTAGGATTCCGAGTTTCATCGTATGGGTTCTTCTCGTACTCTTGCCATCCTAGGAAGTATGAAGAATCTTGTCCGTGCGAGTTACACATCACTTTCTTCGATAGGAGCTTCATATTTTCTGATGTTTTTGTCTTTGAAATCTCACAACTTCAAGCAAATGTGCCAAGAAATAAAAGGCCAACAAAAATTATTAGGCCAAGCAATAAGTCAGCACTTGAAAAATAATTGTTTGAGAGATATAAAATAGTAGAAAGAAGAATGAAAGGTTGTATTTGAATGGTATGTTGCTATGTGCTAGATATCCGGGTGAGCTATATATATAGAAGTTTAGTAACGAAGAAACAACATATCAGCAATTAATATTACTCACCATATTTTTCAAATTTTGACTCAGCCGTTTTTGTTTTTTGTTCCTTTATTATGAAACAATCAATTACTAGTAACTTAAGTAGGTGTGCTGGGATATGTATAATAATTTAACGCGCTTTTATATCGTTTTATTGAACGCTAGGGACATATGGGGTTCAATGGTACCGGCTTGTCCAAGGGTTTAACGAGAAAGTGGAACTAATGTCCCCATCCATATAGTATATATTTTCTATACCTGGTTAAAAACACTTGGAAAAAGATAACAAGTGGTGTCTTAGTTATAGTACTGCTAATGTTGCCGATGTTAGTATGCTACTATTGCTACTCTAAATTAACATAAGAAAACAAATACTATTCTTTTCTATTTTATATAATATTATTACTAACAGAGAAGTTAAATAAATTTTTCACTACAATATGTTCCTCTGTCCCAATTTAATGTGTATACTTTTTTTTTAGTCTGTCCAGAGAAAAATGTCATACTCCTTATTTTAAAAAAAATAAACTTTAAACTTTTTATTTTATCTGAATTATTCAATCCACACAAATCTTTGTTGCTTATTTTAAATTACAAGTTTTAAAAATCTTACTTTTAATCTTGGATTAGCGTCACAATATTCATCAACACGTACTTAAATATTTTCTGACTCATAGGATTAGTGTTTCTTAACAATTAGTTATTAATTTTCTCTGAGAAATCGATATTTGAAAGGAATATCGATTATGGTATTTGATATATTTTCACTCTTTTCGGATGAACAAACTATGTAACTTAATAATGTCGACAAGCAAATGAAGAAGACAACCATGGTCACACTTACAAAAAATTCCATCCAAAAGTAACGACCAGTGGCTGTGCCCTTGCTCCATTTGCTCCCTCCCATTGTCCCATCTCCTCACTATGTGTCGGCCACTCAATCTTTTCTTGTCCTCAGGTTGGGCCAAAAAAGAAAAACTGTTTTCTCAATTTATTCTAAATTAATCTTCTTCCACATTGTAGTTTCTTATTTCTAATTATTTGAGTGAAATAGCCTATAAAATAATGAGTTCAAGTCAACCTCCGCTTTCTAATAGCTTGGCATTTCGCATTAGTGAAAATTATATAATTACAAAAATAAAATTATGCATAAGTTTAATTCGGTTTGCACATAAGGAGCATTCACACTGCTTGATGCGCTTAGACCCAATTCACAATTTTAAAAACAGCTCAACTATTCAAGATAGAGACAATCTGCAATTCATAAATTCTAAAGACTGTATAGCACAATTAAATTTTATTTATTAGTGGGGAGGTTTGGTTTATACAAGTGAGGAACAGTTCATGATCCAAGTGTGTAATTTTATTATGATCGTGGAATTTTTAGTTATTGACCATAAAGTCAATGGTTGACTTCGAACAAACGCTTATGACTCTAAAATAACCGATATAATTAATTAAGGTAATACGAAGTTAATAAATATTGAAACGCATATCTCATTTAATGGATCTAAGTCGGGTGTGATTGACCGAATGAACGTTTTTAGAATTTAATGGACAGATGCTTAAATCGTGCTTCGGTTTCGCAAACATTAATTAATTAAGCTTTGCCTTAAGCTTAATTAATTAAGGGACAAGAAACGACATGATACTCAGATCTAAAACTAGGTGGTGACTGTTTTTCCTAGGATTGATTACGATTAATGTCCTAATCCACATAAAACTTTTGTGTATTTTTTATTGAAGCAGAGCATTGTGCTGTCTAAGTTCTTTTCTTTTTTTCTTTTTTCTTGTGACTGTGACAAAAGCTTCATGTTTCTTGAGCTAGCTCAAATGCATCCTACAGAAGAAATGAATATAGAGACTGCATAAGAAATCTAAATTCTTACCTGTATATGCCAGGGGCGGAGCTATATAATTCGAAATGATTAAATTAAATCTCCTTTATCGAAATAACATACATGCAAATAGGAGTAAAATAAGGCCTTTTATATTTTGTATAATAAATGAATTGCTTAATATATCCCTTTGACCTCCTAATGCAACACAAATGTAGCTCAAAAATTATTTTAGGTCGCTCGTTCATATCTGATATCTCATGTGTGGTATTGTTGTGTTTTCTTTTAGTATCCTTGTTAGAATTGTTAGCTCTGCCGCATCGTCCGAATTATTAGATCCGCGAGCCCGTTTGGACATAAGAAATTTTATTTTTTTTTCAAAAAAAAATAAATTAAAAACGATGTTTGATTATGAAATTCTTACAATTTTTCCAATCCAACTTGAAAATACATTTTCGAATTTGAAAAACTGACCTGTTTTTCAATTGGAAAATTGGAAAGTGGGTATTTCTATGTTTACAAATTTACCCTATATGTTTTGAAATTTGTAAAAGGATCTCAATCAGTTATTAAACCTAGGTAAAACCTACAACTACCCACCATCTGATTGAGTAGCCTTGGATATTATTTTGACATCCACTGTTGAGACTTACAATTTATACTTTTACCTGAAGGAGTCACTACAACTTCTATTAGAGATTGTTCGTACAGTTAAACAATCAGCATGTTGATTGTTTGTTTCAAGTAGGATAATAAAGTCAGGGTGGTTTTGATACTTTTACAAATTGTGGGGTATAAATCATGTTTCATGATTTTGAAAAAAATACATCCAAATATGTTGCAAAAATTATAACCAAATACAACTTCATCTTCAAATCAAATTTTAGTGAAATTCCAAATTTGAAAAAAAAAATCTTGGAATTTATGACCAAAAGCCTACTTAATTTGCTTTATTATAATACAATTTCAATCATATTGTGATGTAGCGAAAGCTTATATTTCAATATTACTGGAATAAATATACCAATATTTAGGCTTAAGTTAATTTAAAACAATGCATTGACAGATGTAAATATACAATTTCAGATGGAAATGATACCTAACACAAATTACACGTAGTGGGAATCACAGACGTCTTTTTTATTGAAAATTGATGATAAAAAATCAGCCCAAATATTAAAGTTTCAAACTCATATTAAAAAGTTTATGAGGAGTTGTATGGACACAAAGATTCAAGTCATTTTACTAAATGAGAAATCAAGGCTTTATTCGTTAACGTTACATAAGTAGTACGAACCAATCATGCTTGCTTGGCAAAATCACTTTTGAACTCTCATGTGTTTTTCGGTACGCTTCACGATGGAAAAAATCGAATTGAACAGAAGAAAATGATCTTGCAAAAATCTTTTGTGTTTTATTCATTAATATATGTGTTGCTTTTACTAGTTCGATATAAAAATGGTCATATAACAAAAATAACCTTTGTAATGAAGTACAAAATCAAATCTTCTGTTTGTTGCAAGGGAATGGAGTCAGATTAGGGCATGTGAAACCTTTTTTTAAGTGCCCCACAAAAACCTTCAAGATATGCACTAAGAGTTTAAGGGTCCATTACTCTTAACTCATCAATTAACTTCCACTTGAACTAAAAAAACTCATCTTACATGGTTCTTTGAACGCCTCATGAGTACATTAGTGGTTCTAATGGGGTTAATAATTATCTGAGATCCAAAATAATATAAAACAATTGTTATGGATTGAAGATTCAATCTTTTAAGAACAATTTGAAGTTGAGAACGAAAAGGCAACTTTAAACAAACTGATAATACATAAATGTGATGTACAATATAGAAACGTAGTTGTTGAGGTATGAATTGTACTGTCTAAAAGATAAAAAGGCTACAATGTTCAATTTTACAGGGTAAAGAGTGGACTGGGTTTCAACTACTACGAACTTGAGGTTCCTTAATTGGTATGATATGCCTACAATATGGTAGTCTCTCTTTATTTATTTATTATTATTTTTTTGGGGAGGGGATTGGAACTTACATTTCTTGCTTCGAAAAAGCAAGTGCATACCGAGATTCAATTACTCATGGAACAAAACTTCAATTATTTTTTTGCTTAATCTGACCCCTTGTTTACTGGAGGAGCTCTGTGATATGCTGGTATTGTTGTTGGGAAGAACATTTGCCTGACCCCTTCTGCTTTTATAATGGGAAATATGATGCCCGATGCAGCCTGGCAAAAGAGAATTCACGCCAAATTAAAACGAGTCACACTTTTGCAGAAGGAAAAACGATGATGCAGGCAATGGCGGAGCCAGAATTTTCGTTAAGGGGTGTCAAAATATATAAAAGTAAACATACCAGAAAATTAAGGGGAATCAATACATAGTATATATACATATAATTTATTTTTTTACCTAGCTACACAGTGTATTTTTCTCGCGAAGGGGTGTCACTCGTATAAGGTGGCTCCGCCACTGGATGCAGGCATTCCAACTTGAACGAAGTGCAACATAGCACATGCAAAGATTCAATGGAGGAGAAAGTTTGAATTCAGGTACATACCGAGATTAATCTAGCTCCTATCCACAATCTCTTTGGGGAAGGAAATGGAACGAGTAAACGACCAACTCCATATATGGCCACAGCAAAAAAATGGAGTACCAAGCTCAGCGGGCTAGGATTAAGACCAGAGAGTAGAGCTACGGGTCCTGTTGAACAAGTACCTCCAAGACTCAAATAGTCGAAACATGCTTCTCGCATCTCCTTCCTCGCTTGATCAGGAGAAGCACAGAATACCTTGTACAGTGCTCCAGCCAAAGTATTTATTGTTGAAGCCACTGGCTGCAAACGGAAATCAATACAATAATGAGTAGCAGGCTAATTAAGTCATAAAAAGAAACAATTTTTTCAATCCAGTGTTTCAGTTCAATTTGTTTGTATTCTTTTCAAGGGAATAGCTATCAAATAGAGACGTATGTTTAAGACATTAACCCCACTTCATATAAAATATGATTTTCTGTAGAGATTGGAGAAGCTTTCAGGTAAAAAATTTCTCATGCCACGTTAAA